CAAGTTGCTTAAAACTAGTGATTAAGGGAAAAATTTATAAGCAGCCAGAGGAAAAAAAGACATATTACACACAGAGAAACAAAGCTAAAGATTACAGCAGATATTAAATTATGAACGATGCAAGGTAGAAAACAGAGGAACATCTTCAAAGTATCAAAAGAAAAAAGAAAAAAAACTCTACCCAGCAAAAACATCTTTCAAAAATAAAAATGAAGGAAAGACTTTTTATGACACATAAAAGTAAAAAGAATTCATCACCAGTTATATCTGTCCTACAAGAATTTTTCAAGAGACGGAAAATGATGCCTGACGGATACCTAGATCTACACAAAGGATAAAGAGCACTGTAAATGGTAACTACAGTTATCACTGCTTAATATATTTAAATATAATTGAATATTAAGAGGAAAAATAATTACAATGTATTGTTGAAGTAACAAATTTAAACAAAATATCTGACAACAATAGCACAAAGGCTTGGACAAATGTAATTATACTATTATAAGATTTGTGTACTCTAAAGTGGTACAGTATTATTTGAAGGTAGACTGTGATAAATTAAAGAGGTACACCAAAGAAACCACTAAAATGTTACACAAAAAGAGTTACATCTAATAAGCTAGAAAAGGAGATAAAATAGAACCATAAAAAACTACATAGTTAATACAAAAAAAAAAAAAACCCAAACAGAAAAGGGGAAAAAGGGGAAGAAATAAGAGTTGGGACAATTAGAAAACAAATAGCAAAATGATAGGTTTAAACCCAACCCTACCAATAGTCACATTGAATGTGACTAAATGTGAACACCCCAAATAAAGCCAGAGATTGTCAGATTGGATAAAAAAGACCCCCCAAACTATGTTTGTTTCCCCAACTACTTTTATTATTTAATTTTAACATAAAATATCACTGTTTACATGTTTAAAAAATAAGAAAAGAAAGAGCAACACCCAACCATCTGCTGCCTACAAGAAACCCACTTTAAATATAAAGAAAAAAATAGCTTAAAAGTAAAAGGGTAGGAACTTCCCTGGTGGTGCAGTGGTTAAGACTCTGCACTCCCAATGCAGGGGGCCCGGGTTCAATCCCGGATCAGGGAACTAGATCCCACATGCATGCTGCAACTAAGAGTTTGCATGCCACAACTAAGGAGCCGATAAACCACAACTAAGAAGCCTGCCTGTGGGCTGCAACCTAGGAGCCCGCCTGCTGCAACTAAGACAGCACAACCAAATAAATAAATAAATATTTTTTTAAAAAAGTAAAAGGATAGAAAAATATATACTGGGGCTTCCCTGGTGGTACAGTGGTTAAGACTCTGCACTCCCAATGCAGGGGGCCCGGGTTCGATCCCTGATCAGGGAACTAGATCCCACGTGCATGCCACAACTAAGGAGCCTGCCTGCCACAACTAAGACCCGGTGCAACCAAAAAAAAAAACAAAACGCGAGTTATTATTAGCATTATTTTTGTTCAGATGATTATGACATAGTTGCTGTCTTTAGGTGGTGAACAATCCAGTGGGAAGACACACTTGTATGAGCTAACAAGTGCAAGGATGGGATGGGGAACACAAAGCAGGAGGGAGGGATCCTTTCTCTTGGGATCAGGGGTTCAGGAAAGGATAGAGGTCCACGGAACCTTGAGCTGAGTTTCTCCATCTCACATCCACGCTCCTGTTCCTTTAGTCATTCAACAAACCTTTAATGAATTCCTCTATGTTCCAGGCGCTGTGCTGGGAGCGAGGGTTACAGCTGTGAATGAGACAAAGTCCTGCCTTCACACAGCAGACCTCACAATCTGATGGACAACTCAGATAACAGAGACCAAGAAAGAAATGCAGAATGTCAAGGGGACACAAATCCCATGATGAAAACCACAGAGGGTAAGCATTGGTGGGAGGTTTGCACAGAAAGCTTTTTTATACTGGATGGTGAAGGGACGGGCAAACCATTCGAATGGAATAAGAGTTGAATCCCAGAGTTTCATGTCCTAGCTCTGCCACTACCATGAGGCCTTGAACAAGCCACTTCTCTCTATGACTCAGTTTGCTCACCTGCACAATAGGGATAAGAATAGTATCTACCTATAGGGTTGTGGAGAGGATTAAATGAGTTAATACATGTGAAGTGCCTAGAAAGTGCCTGGCACGTTAGTAAGGGCTGCAAGTGTTTGCTTCTTCTCCTTCTACTTTTCCAGCAAAGGGAACAGCAAGGGTAAAGGCCGTGAGGTGGGAAAGGGTTTGTAATGTTCCAAGAAGAGCAAGAAGGTCAGGAGAAAACAAGGGAAGTGTGGCAAGGGATGGAGTTACGAAGGCAGGGGTATGGGTAGGCTGAGGCAGCTTCCTACCGCCCCTCCACGGCCGGTCATCGTCCAGGTTCAAGTTTGTCGACCCCCTTACTGCTCAGAAGCCTGCCATGGCTCCCCAGTTGGCCCTCCATTTCCATGGCACCCAGCGCTCTGCACCTAAAGGTTCCTTGGGTACCTCCTCCCGGCCCACCCGGCCTAGACCCTTGAGAGAGCACAGCCATTTGGGGTTGAAAGACAGGCTCCACATAATGGGGTCTCTTAGAGCGAGCGAGTGACAGCTAGTCACTGCCGACAGAATAAGAAGCCCGGGCTTTCCTGTCTGCTCAGGACTGTTCTGCCTCTGCCCGGCGTCGGCGCAGCCCTCCTAACCCCGCCCACCCAGGTCCTGCCCCCACGTAGCCTCGCCCACTGCTGGCCCCGCGGCCCCGCCTCCCCGCAGCCTCGTCCTACGCGGCTCTCGCGCTGCTGGTCTGGCTGAGTCAGGCTTAGGCTGCCGCCGGTATACTGACCCAGGATGGCTGGGACTGGAGACTGCGAGGAGGAACAGGAGAGGCAGAAAGGGGTGCGGCCAGGTCGGGGAAGGAGCGCTGGACCGGAAGCCGGACAACCGGGCTCCCCATGGGGGCATAATCTTGAAGGGCACTGCTGTGTGGCCTAAGGGAACTTGCTGAACCTCTCTGGGCTGCATGCATTCAACGAAAATTTACTACAGGCCAGGTGCTGGGGATGTGGTAGTGAACAGGAGCCATGTGGTAATACAAGCCTTGGTGAAGAGTGTGATGAATCCCTGAATCGCTGCTTTCCATCCTACTGACTGGGTGACTTTGGGCAAGATACTCAGCTTCTCTATATTTCCCTATCCTCATCTGTAACTGGGGAGTAAAACACCCACCTCCTAGGGTTGTGAGGGTTAAATGACTGTATACTTAGAAAGTCCTGGAAATTGTGCCTATTAAGCAGTCTCACTAAGAGCATAACAAGCTTCATTATTAGCTGTTGTTATCTGCACCCTCTTGGAGCTTATTCACTGACTTTTTAAATTCACTGTTTTATTTAAAATTTCCTTTTCATTATGAACTATTTCAGACATATAAAAAAGAGTAGAAACAGTGTCCCCATCACCCTATTTAAGAAATAAAGCATTATAAATACATTTTCTCTGCTCGACTTTAATCATACCTTCATATCCCATGCCCTGGAAGCCTCCACCCCATCCTCTACACTGCTTACAGTTTGTGAGAGATCCAGATAATACACAAGTCAGATCCTGCCATAACCCTGCTTGAAAACCTCCACTTAAGAAAATAAAATCAAACACATCCGCTTGACATCCAGGCCCTTTGCTTCTGACCCTCCCCCACTGACCCTTCCTGTTTGAACTCTGCCACCCAAAACCAGAATTCCCCTTAGCATTTCTTAAGTGTCCCTGCTCTTTGTATATGTCGGCCCCTCTGCTGGGGTTCCTGTGTATTCCTTCTTCTCTCTCCTTCACTCATTCCAGGAGAAGCAGCATCCTTTGGTCCCCCAAGGCTCCCTGAGTACTGTCCCACTGGGATGTATGTGTGTGTATCCCCTAGGCTGTAAGCTCCTGGCAGCAGGTCCATGGCTGCTGCATTTTCATCTGCTCCTAGTAAAGGCAAGGCATACACTGGACACCACAGTTGTAGTTGAGTGTGTTTGGGGCACTGTGCTAGGGTTCGGTTGGGGTGGTCATCCAGTGACTCCAGCCCCATGCTTTTCATGGGGAACTTATGGTCCATCAGCTTTGAAACCTCTGGGGAAGAATCCAGAGGTCCTTAAATGGGGGCCTAGTTTTGTTTTGTTTTGTTTTAATACAGAAATTTATTTAATCTGATAGGAGGTATTTATCTACAGTAAAGCAATAACAAGTAATACTGGTCAAATATTCAAAGTTCTTCACCTGAAACTGCAAAGGAGAGAAGAATGTTCATTATTTCACTTTAATTCAATATTGTATCTGGCATTCTGGCCATACAGTAAAGATAAAAATAACAGGTTGGAGAGGGACAAAAGAACAGGGGAGGGTAGAAGGCTGGGACTTGGGACTTGAAGATTCCAAAGCAAGCCAAACCATACAGTTTAGAAATTTCTGTACGTGTACAACATAAGGTGGACCCTGAAGTTAAGTCTAAGAAAAAATCAGCAATTTATAAAAGAAACTGACATGCTACAAAGGTGGTTTCTATCTTGCTAGACTGTAAATATCTTACTTGGCTATTAATTGAAAATATTTAATAGAATGACCACTTCCCAGCTAATTTTCATTTTA